TTATTACCTTCCAGTTCCATGGATCAGGAGTCTGAGCACAGGTTAGCTGACTCCTCTGCTCACAAGGCTGCAATCACATCAGCTGTGCTGTAGTTCTTATCTGAGATTGGAGGACCTCTACCAAGCTCATTCAGGTTACTGGCACAATTCAATTATCTGGGCTTGTAGGAACGAGTTCTCCTTTGCCTGCTAGCTGCCCACTGGGGACTGTGCTCAGCTCGCAGAGACCACTGACATTCCATGCCACGTGGTCCCCAGAGGCTGCCAAAGCAGGACGTTCGCTTTTCTCCAGGCCGGCGGGGGTGCACCTCTCTGACTTCCTCTCCCCTACACCAAGTGGAGAAAGCTCTCTGCTTTTAAAAGACTCACCTGAAAGGTCAAATTCACTCAAGATCATTTTCCTCACAAGAGTACTATGTCATTATATTCACAGGTTCCGTTCACACTGAATAGAACTATACAGGGCATGTGCACCACAAATGGGAATACAGGGGCTGTTTTAGAATTCTGTCTAGCACAGGGCAGCTGAAAATAACAGCAAAGTATTGAGTGCTTATTTATTGCCAGCACTATGTTAAATGCTTTTTAGCATTAATCTTTAAATAATGCAACATTGTTTCTATCTTGTTTCTGTTTTGTTTGTATTTCTATTACTTTATTTTAAAGATGGAGAAACTGAGGCTTAGTTAGAGGTTGGATGACTTTGCTCCATATCACTCAATCGGTAAGACGCATAATCTAGACTCGGAACTCTTTCTGACTCCAGAACCCATTCTTATCCACTTTGCCTCATCAAAGCTGGTTCTCCTGTAACCAGGGGAATGAAGATTATCACTGTTTTATGGATGTAAACAGTGGTTTGGGAAGATTAAATAACATACTTAAGACCACCCAGTTGGTAAGTAATAGAGCAGCCTTCAATCTAATCATCTTCTCAGTCCCACACTATAGGCATCCCATGTAATTGAGGGACACTCCCAAATTGCTTGCCAACTAGAAGAAAATGTAATAAGACACCCTTCCCCAGAGACAGAGGAAACCAGTGTGTTTTCTGGCTCCAAGGCTTACTAGAATTATGATACACATTATCAGTTCTATTTTTTTCACCTGTAGTGAGTGAGAAGCAGGAGCGTTTTATTCCCTTGCTGAGGAAAATAATCTGAACTATGGGCACCTGACAATCACTCCCTTTGAAGTTTCCTAATACTTAGCACCAGGAGCGGGTCCTCTCCCATGGTGATAAAAGGTTAGTTAGTGATTATTCACTTCCCCCTTTCTGTGGCTTTACACCTTTAAATGAAAGGTGTCCTGGAGTCAAAGCAAATAATTATTCATGGGTGAGGATATGTTTCCTTAGAACTAATATTGTTTTTTTCATTACTTCTTGCTTGGAGACAAAACAGCTTTGACGCAGAGCTGTTAACTAATACAAATTATCCATTGCAAGAGTCATCACGTCACACCACCCCCACCTGTGCTTTGGCAACCAGGGGCCAGTTTTCCCTGAGAGTGGTGTCCACTTGTTTCCCCTGTTCTTTCCCATGACTACAAATGCAAACAGTAAACTGGGTCCACAGACAGACATTAAAAGAGCACACTGTCGTTATCTCCAATACCTAATGTCTAATCTCCCCTGCCCTGCAATTGATTTTCAGGCAAGAAACAGAAAACAGTCATCAGAAAAGTTTTACTTTACATGAAAGTGCCCTGGTTTGGGTTATAACTGCATTCCTCTGTTAATAGCCACAGCTCCCTTCCTAGGGTTGTAGCTATCCCAAGGCACCAGGAGGACCATTCCTTTCTCTTGCCCCCCTAGATGAGGGTTGGTGATAGCTGATCACTGACATTAGCCGCTGGGACCTTCATGATCCCTTGATGGTTGCCTTAGCCCTGCTCACACCTGAGTAAATAGCTCTTTTATAAAAATATTCCTAAACCAGGAACTCTGGCTGATAATTGCTCTAAACTGAAACCGCCTTGGGAAAAATTCTAACAGTGAGAACATGATGGCAGTGAAAGAGATCTAACTAACCAACTTCATCTTGCCTTTAACCTTCAAGCTTCCCTTGTTCATTCCTGGGCTTAGGCCAAACCAACTTTGTGAGGCATTTAGTTTATAGTTTAAGACAACGATGTCAACAGCCCTTTCCCAAAACAAACCTCATTCTGCCTGGGGACAAGACTGCCTTTGTGGGACTAACAAATTAGCCACATGATTAGAAATTATGGTTTAGAAGTCACGCAGCCAGAGGCCACAAGATTCCTAACTTCCCCAGTTGCTCCTATAGATAACGTTACTATTTTAGAACCTAAGATTGGTGCTTGAGATATTTTTCAGACCCTGAATTCTGATGGATAAGCTGATACCACCCAGACTGGCAAACTGAGTCATCTGGTTTTGTGGCTCCTACCCAGGAATCAACTCAGTGCAAGAAGACAGCTTCGACTCCCTATAATTTCATCCTCAACCCAACCAACCAGCATTCCCTATTCTCTAGCCCCCTGTTCACCAAACTATCTTTAAAAACCTCTAGCCTCTGAATTTTTGGGCAGGCTGATTTGAGTAATAATAAGACTCCAGTCTTCCATTTAGCGAGCTTGAAGCGTATTAAACCTCTTTTTCTATTGCAATTCCCCTATACTTGGTAAATTGGCTCTATCGAGCAAAATGAAACCATTGAGTGGTTACAAATGCCTTAATAAAAGTATTGACTTCAGCAACAAGTCTAAACTGGTGTTAAAATCATTAGCATATTATTGAGGGGGAACTGAACATTTGTGCACTGCCCAAAAAACACCACACAGATTATCTTACAGTCACGAGAGGGAGAACATAATGCTCCCATAGAAGAAGAAGATTGTTGTTTGCCTTAATTACTGGTCAGTACTAGAATCTCTAATGGTGAGCAAACCAGAAAATATATATATCATGGCAAAATACAATAAGAAGTACATGTCTCCTATGACGTAATCTGGCTAACAAGGTTTACATTGAATCCACCATGCTTTTGCATTTTACTTTCTCTTTTGTTGTTTAAGAGATGATGTCTCACTATATTGATGAGGCTGGTCTCAATCTCCTGGGCTTAGGTGATCCTCCTGCCTTAGCCTCCCAAAGTGCTAGGATTATAGGCATGAGCCACCATGCCTGGTCACATTTTACTTTCAGTTTATAAGAAATAAGAAAGTCAGATAAACAAGCTAAAGGGATCCACAAAGAAGCAATTCGTCAAATCCAGAAAATGGGTTGTTCCTCAGGCTAACTGGCCAAATTCACTTAACAAGCCTAATGTCATGTTTATGCTTGGAAAAGGCATAAGAAATGAAGAAATATCTATGCAATGTGTAGGCCTGAATTGGTTCCTGATTGGACAAATGAACTACAAAAGGCATTTTGAGGATAATTTAGATCAACAGATGTAGACTAGATATTAGGTAAAATATGGTGACATATATTGACATGGAAAACTTTATAAAAACGGTATGTAACAATTCATAAAACAGTATTTTTCTCATTTTGTAAAAAAAGATATGTCTGTATATATATGTATGCCTAAAAATTTTGGAAGGATATACGATAGGATTTTAACAACAACAAGCTGTGGATGGTGGGAATAGTGCATTTTTATTTTCTTATTTATGTTTATCTATACATGGCCTGCTTTGTAATTAGGAGAGATTTTTAATTTAGTAAGGAGAAAGGTTATCAGCGTAAGTGTGTTTAACCAAAGCCAGGGGAGTAAATGACATTGTCCAGGGAGAGCGTGTGAAAAACAAGACGGTGGTTGGGGAAACAGCTTTTAGCAACGTGAATATTTCAGAGAGAAGAATGGAAGGAGAGATGGTCAGACATGGAGCAAGGGAACAGAAGAAACAGGAAAGCCAGAGGAGGAGACTGCTCCCAGAAACAGCAATGGTCAGGTTCCAAACGCTGCAGACAGGCCCGCAGGATGAGGGTTAACACTAGGCCTCTGACCTCACAGTGGGAAATGCACGGAGACTTTTGCCCAGGGAGGGCTGAGGAACTAGAGGCTGCTCTTGTAATAAGTTGGTAATGGAGAGAAGGAGAGACACAGGCTGCTGTGGAGGGGGCAGGGATGCCCATCTTTGCACAAGGAGAGCCATCGCCATTCAGGTTGTATTCTGTGTGAATGAAAACCCCTGGATCCCTACCAGGGTACACTGTGAGTGGTACACCCTGAGGGAAATGAAAAGGAGGACCCTAGGAAGCAGGAGGAGGAATTAGTTATTTGGAAATGGAGAACAGTTAAGCAATTTGCAGAAAGTTCCAGGGAATGGAACTAGGAGGAGGAGGAAGGACCACTAATGCCACAGGACCCAGGCTTGTGCAGAGGAGGAAGTGAGGTGGAGAGCAGAGGAAGCAGGATGAGCCTTGCAGAGGATGGAGACAGGTGTCCTGTGAATCAGAGGGCAAGGGGCCAGCACCAGAATGTGCCAGTCACGCCTTCTACGGAAGTCGACAGACTACAGCCATGATTAGCAATTATAAGTAGACTTTGAAAGCAACTTTTCCAAGTGGCAGTGTGCTGCGTTGGGGATTACTATAGAGCCATGCTGGCAGCTCTGAGATCACGTGAACCTCATACGTTATTGGGGAAGGAGGCTGCCAACATGATGGGATTTAAGAGATACCCAATGACCCATCACCCCCAAAATATCTCCCAGGGGCTTCTCACAGTGACAGGCAATGGGATAACATGAATAGACAGCGCAAGGTGCTGAGTCAGTGGACGAGCAGTCCATCTCTATTATCATGTACCTTTTTTTGTACTTCAAAAAAAGTCCTTTTTTTTTTTTTTTGCAAATCATGTCCTTTTTGAACTTCAGTTTTACTTGCTTCCATGAACATTTACGAAATACCCACTGGGCAAAAAATGGCACCGTCCTCAGTTCCGTCCAGGATGTTTCATTTGATCAAGAATCTATTTAGAGAAGGGGCTGGAATATTCTGGAGTTGTGAATTGTTCTGGAACAGAGAAATTGCTCCCCGTTCCCGCCAAAAAAGAAAAAAGCCCAATAGAATGAAGGTGCCATGTGGACTGTGACAGTCCTCTTCACCCCATCACTGAACCTAAGAGCTCCCGTGTCTTCTGGCTTTCTGTCCCGTGGAGTCCTGCCTTGGTGCTGCCAACGGTTGCCGGGTGGACAGGTCTCAGCTGTGCACATAACCCTCTCAGCCGCCCGGGGCTTGGAGGAGACTAGCAGCGCTGCTCAGGGTCCAGCAGCTCCAAGCGCGTTCATCAGAGCCTGTATCCCCACCGCTCCACCTGCTGTGCCGGGCGGCTCTGGGACAAGCTGCTGGTAGGCAGGTCTTTTTCTCTGGTGCCTGTTTATATACACTCATCTTCCCAATTTATCTTTCAAGCAACACCTTGCCGGAGAGGAGTAGTATCCTCCATTCCTTTGTACAAATGTGTACGAAATGTAGAGATTCCGGCCGACATAGGGGTGGGAAGGAACGCGGCAACGGGAGAGATTGCAGGGAGGTGCTGGGCTGTTAAATTACAGCTCAGTGGGGATGGGGGAGGAAACCGTAACTCAGAGAGGGGCTCCAGAACTAAAAGCAAACAGGAAAGTTTTAATGAGGAAGTCCCGGAGAGGAAATTACTCAGTCCTTTGTAAAGAGTGGGCTATCCAAAGAGAGGGAGGGGGTGCCAGTCCAAAATGGGGGGACCCTGAGGAGGAGCAGAACTTTTTTTTTGGTGCCCAAAACATAGAAATCAGCTTCATTCTTCACTCAGGGATTTGAGGAGGGGAATCCTTGGGGTGGGAGCAGCTGTTGCTGCAGGACTAAAAAATGTATCTTAACTTTTTCCAGCAGAGCAACTGAGACCACATGGTGAAGAATCTGGAGAAAGGACTAGAAGATTCTGGGGCTGTGCTTGCAATAAGGGACATAGAACAGTTCTCCCTGTGCCTGGAACAAAGAACTTCCCTAAAAAAAAAAAAAAAAAAAAAAAAAAAAAAAAAAAAAGCCAGACAAAAGAAGAACTAAGGTGAAGAGAGTTTCCTGTGATCACATTATGCTCTGGGCATGCATAGCAGAGAGGGAACACATTTTCCCATTCAAAAATCAGGGCATGGCATTTAACAAAACATATTTTTTCAGTTTCTGAATTCGTGTACATGAAGTACCTTAAAATGATATAAAATGAAATTGTACTTAGTCATAAATTGAAGTAAATGAATTTATTACAATTACAACATTGCATGAAATTGGAAGTGTCTTGGAAAATCTGGAAATGAATGAACACTTTTTTTCAATTGAAGCATATCTAAGAATAGCTGAGGAACGAGTTCATTAGTTTCTTCCTGAATCAGTGGTTGAAGGAGGAGGAGTTAGGGGAGAACAAGTTCCCTCCCGAGAGTTGGGGTCAGGGAGAGAGAGGCCCTTGCAGTGTGTTTGAGTGAAAAGGATGAGGAAGCTGGGACCTTGAGGAATTGACCTCTTGATTTTCAACTCCCTACCTGTGTCTCAGGAGAACCTCAGTTTCCTGATCTGCAAAATGCTCATGAAATTGCTACAAGCTGATATCCACTGGACAGCAGTGTCTGTCCCTGATGGGTTGTACACGAACCTTTTCTTCCTTGACCCCATCTCAGGTGATGTATGGAAAGACGCTCCCACTTTTGAAAGGTGTCCTGTCACTGAAAACACCTTGCAATTTTGCTGGCATGTGAGGATGGAATAGACATAGGCATTTGGGCCTCCTTCAGAAGGGCAGTGAGGCACAGTCCCTTCACACAGGGCAAGCCAAGCTTCGGCTGGTCAGTGCCTTTGTGCACCAATAATGGGCTAGGCCTTTCGCTGGCTAGGGAGGAAGCTCTAAACAGTCTGGGAGCAGAGAAGTGTTTCTCTTGAGCTAGGCTAGACCAAGGGCTTGGTAATTTTGGAAGAGTGAAAATCAAGAGCAGTAAAGAAGGAAAAAATGTAAACACAAATGACCCGCAGAACCCCCAGTACATTTTGTCTGACCCGAGGAGCAGCCTTGGCAGGAAGTCTGTGAGAATCTCAATCATGATCACGAGGACCTTCCCAGCTTTGGCTGATCCAGCAGAGGGCTCCTTCTGGGAATTAAAAGGGCATTTTATAAGCTATTCACCGAGGACCTCCTGCCAGAGGTAGGGCAGAGACTCGTCATTTCCACCTCAACCCAGCTTTCCATGCTGTCACTTCTGGGTACCCTGGTTTCTTCTAAAGAGGTCTCTGTCTTTTAAATTTTGTCACTTGCATTACTTGCTTCGATGATTCTGAACTTGGCATGCCATTCTGTGGCTTTGCTGCTGTCTGACTCACATGCTTTTGCCTGCATTACCAAGCGAGGCTTGAAGCCCAGTCTCAGGAGGAGATGGCCAATGCTTCCCATTTCAGTTACCAAGGACAGCTGGGGGCTTCTGCCAACACCAGCACACTCTCTTCCTCAAGGTCTCTTTCCTCATTCTAAATTAGCATTCACAAAAGTTTCCAAGTGGGGTCTTGGGAGGAGTTCAGGTCAATCCAAATGAACACAGATTTGAGTACCTACTATGTGCCAGGCATGCTGTGGGATTCCAGGGTGCGTCAAACCTTAGTTTCTACACCCCTGGGCCTTACATGCCTAGAGGGGAAACAGTTCCAACAGGCTGGGAGTGCAGGCAGACTGATGTAATGGAAACAGTTTATTGTTCTCATATTCATTTAAAAAATGTTTATTGAGCGCCCACTATTGCCATCCACCTTTCAGTATCTTGGGGCTATACCAAAGGGCTCAAATATGGGATCTGAGATCAGACAGAATTGAGTCCAAGCCCAGCCTTCAACATGAGCATGTTCTTGTGCAAGTCCCCTAAACACACTCGTCTCCAGATTTCTCATTTTTAAAATGGAAATCATAATAATCATATTAACGTTAGTAATACTATTTTGCAGAGCTCTAGTGAAGTCAAGAGGTAGGTATGATAGGCATGCAATAAATGTTGCTGATTGGTTGTTCTAAAGTAGATGAACAAATACGTATAATGGTAGAATATGCAAGTGGAGAGGTAAAGAGAATTAATTTTAATTTTTGCTGCACATGATTCAATGGATGGGCATGGCAGAAGGAGAAATAAAGCTGCATTCAGTCAGCCTTCACATGTGCTGTTTTCACATGTGTAGATTCAGCCAGTCTTGGATTTTTCCACATGTGGATTCAGCCAGTACAACTCAAAATAATGCAGTATAACAACTACTGACATAGCATTCACTTTGTATTAGGGATTATAAGTAAAGTATACTGGAAGATATGTGTGGGTTATATGGAAATACCATATAAGGAACTTGAGCATCTGTGAAATTTGGCATCTGTGGGGGTCCTGGAGCTGATCCCCTTCAGATACTGAGGGACAACTGTACAGACAGGTGGCATTCTAGACCAGGTATGCCTAAAGCAGTGAGTTCCTCAAGGGTCCATGAGTTTTCTAATTTTTCATTTTAAAACTAGATTGTGATGATTATCCCATTTACATAGATGCACATACAGTTGACCCTTGAACAACATGAATTTGAACTATGCAGGTTTATTTAGATGTCTGTTTCTTTCTGCATCTACCACCCCTGAGACAGCAAGACCAAACACTCCTTTCCTCCTCATCCTCAGCCTACTCAATTAGAAGATGACAGGATGAAAACCTTTACATTGATCCACTTCCACTTAATGAATAGTAAATACATTTTCTCTTCTTTATGATTTTCTTATAAATATCTTCTTTGCTCTAGCTTACTTTATTGTAAGAATGCAGTATATAATATATACAGCATACAAAATATGTGTTTATCAGCCGTTTATGTTATCAGTAAGGCTTTTGGTCAACAGTAGGCTATTAGTAGTTAAGATGTGGGGGATTCAGAAGTTATAGGTGGATTTTCTACTGCATGTGGGTTGGTGTCTATAACCCGCAAGTTATTCAAGGATCAACTGTATATACATACATATAAATATAATATGCATGTACTTACAAGCTGACACATTCTAAGTTATCTGAATGTTCAATTTATAAGCTAGGTACTGCATGATTTCAGCCTCTATATATTAACATGTGTATCACATGTGTAATAAATTAATGCTAAGTAAACTATTTATTTTCAAAGCTAGTGAGGAATGAAGAAAGGTGGACTTAACACAAAAATGTGTTTGCAGAGCAGGGTCCATTTTATACAAAGGAAGGTTTAGAAGTTGTTTGAATAGAGAGAAATAGAGACCAGAGAAGACGTTTACATCAGGCACACGGTAAAATGGGCGGACTGATGTCACAAGCTGATGGGCTTGGAGAGTCACCGCATGTGAAAAGAGGTTTCATTTTACCGAAACAATATTAGGTCACTCTTCATGAATGTCATTAACGACAATTTTACTGGTTTTGTGGCTTTTTGAGATTTAAAACATAAATATGTTAGTTGTATATAAACACTAAAGTAAAATGAGCTAATACCTGGTTTTATATTGTACAAATTTAAATAACATATTAATACATACAAATAATGTAAGTCTAATCTAGGGGTCCACTAGAGCTCTAACAGGCAGGCTGTGTTCTTGTTTTAGGACAAGGCTGCTGGATTCTCTCCTCTCTGTAGAAGGAGAAAGCCTTGTTAGAAATGCTGCCATTTTCCAGAGGAGGGCCTGCATGAGCAGATTCCTGGGAACATTCCAGAAGCAAGGCTATCACAGAAGATCTTGGAAGGGTGCAAAGCAGCATGTACTACTGAGAACAGACTCTGTTTCCCCAGTGTTCTCCCAGATGAACTTCCTGACTCACAGAAACCTGACCTCCTATTGCTTTTCTCTACGTTTTTCACCGACTTATTCTACAAGCTGCAGAGGTGCCACATGCTAGCTATTGCAGTAAACACAGGGAGGCAGTAGAGAACAACATGGACACGGTCCCTGTCCCCAAGGACTTTCAATGGGATGGACCATTGTATTAAACTTTAACTCTCAACTCTCACTTCCTGTTCTTTTTCACAAACCTAAGTCTTTAGAATCATACACCAAATTTCCACCCAACGTTTGCAAATAAACAAACTTCTTTTTATTTATTCAACCACATACCTAGAAGACAGCAGGTGTGACCCAGGTGTGTCAGGGACATTTTCTCCAGGCTTTTTCTTAGTGCTTGTCTGATTCTAGACTAGGTAGCTACAAAAAGCAAGGTCTTTGGAATCAGGGAGCTGTGGCAACTTAGGTTGGTTCTTTGGAAGCAGAACCTGAGGCACGGTTTTAAGGACACGAGATGTATTGATTTATTCAAGAAAAAGTTGTAACAAACGAAGGGGAGCAGGAAAGTGAAGCGGGAAAGAGTGAAACAAGAATGTGTTCTCAGAAAAAAAGTCCAGTTGTGATCCCCAGAGGACTTTGGAGCATAAATGATGTCCCAGACTTTCTGTGGAGTGTGTATGTGTGTGTGTATATTGGAGGTGAGGGGGTGACTGGAGGAATAACTTCCTAGCTGACACAGTTCCTGAGAGCTTTAAGGATAATTTCTAGAGAAGGGAGAACCTGTGCGCTGTCAGCTTACCACTCCTGTAGGATGAGCACACCAGCCTGATAAAGGGGATTCGAGTGGGACACCAAATGAACCCACCACACCAAGGTTCAAGTGCAAGGTTTGCCTTCACAAGTTAGCATTACCCTTATATAGGCGGATTTGACCCACTATTGCTAGCTTTACTGATGGAAGAAGGGGCCATGAGCCAAGGAATGTGGACAGCCTTCAGGAGATGGGGAGGGCCCTCAGTTGACAGCCTGCAAGGAATGGAGCCCTCAGTCCTCTAACTGCAAGGAACTGAATTCTCCCAACAACCTGAACGACAAAGGAAGCTGATCCTTCTCTTTGAGCCTCAAAAAAGGAACACAGCCCTATGAATACCTTGATTTTAGCCTAGTGAGACCTGTGTCAGACTTCTCACATCCAGAACTGTA